GGAATGCTTAGATTTTCATAATATTACACCATCATAGTTGCATAACCATTATGTGAAAGTGTAAGCGAATTCCGCTGGTTAATTGCGATTGGGTTGAACCTTCTTTCACAATATGTTTAAAGTTGATAAGCTGTAGATTGAAAATCAACACGAAGCATTTCTGTAATATACTTCAACCAGTTCTATAGATACCTACTTCGCCGAGATTTACAATACACACGTCGACTTTAATTAAATCTATGAAATCACTTACCAATTGTAATTGCTCCCCCCGGAGACGAATCGTAGGCGACCGTTGTCATCTCTGAAAAAGGATACGAAACAACAACAAAAAATAAAGAAAATGATAATATTATTAAAGGAAAGGGCAACGTGCATGATGAAGAGCACGTCATGTTAAACATAATAACAGCTTTAATAATCGTTTATCTAAAACACAACAATAGCTGTGTGACCTTTGACTCAATTTTCGTGATATTGACATAAGGCGTGTTTTGAATTTTGAAACTTTGGACAGATTGTGAAATATCTTTGAATACATATATTCAAACATAACTGTATGTAACATGAATGTTATTTAAACTATATAATTTGGTAACAAAGAATGCTAGAAAAAGGAATTACAGTGCATCATACACCTGTTTCGTCCTTGCAAGCCTCTTCGGTGATTCTAGGGGTCACATTGCTCTTAACTAATTTTGAATCAAAAATGGAGTTGCATAAATAACAGAAATATATAGAGAAATAACACCGACAAAGGAAGATAACACATGTTAACTACCATGGAAGTACATACAGAATTATTAAGAGAATAAACACTGACCAAGGGAGATAACACATTTAACATACCATGGGAATACAAACAGAAATATATATAGAGAGACATCACGAACACACGGAGATAGCACATGTAGAATGCCATGAAAATACATACAGAATTATAGAGGGTGACAACACTAATAAAGGGAGATAACACATTTAGATACCATGGCATTACATACAGAAAGATAAAGAGATATACCATATGATAATACAGACAACAATCACAACACCCAGAAACGTACGTAGGGTGAGGGTCCCCAAAATGGAACACTTTTTCAAGAAAAAATAATTAAATTTCCTATAAAGTTTTGACAATCCAAATTTTTTTCTGACATGAAACAAAACATGCCTGTAGATTTCATTTTATGTATTTCTTGGGTATCAACAGCGTGAGTCTATTTATAGAGCTCATTAAAGTGATTCAAATAAAAAATGCTGCATCATATATGTCAAAGGTTTTCCATTTTGGGTACCGTTCCATTTTGGGTACCCTCGCCCTACCGACAAAAAGGAATATGAAACATTGCTTGATAACAAATAAAGGGATATAACCTTTGCTAATATAGACCATATATATATATGACAAACAACTGCAAAAGAGGTAACCTATAACATTAAAGACCACCTATAAAACAAAAGTTTAACGGGTTTAACACCTACAAAAGGAGATGACAAATGATAATACAGACCGTCAAGGAAAATATGTGCTGCCAAAGAGGATTATGAGAAATTGGATGATAACAAATACCGGGTAAACACCTACCGTAATGGTCTGCAAATTGACATTCAATAAACACGTCTTCGTCGTGTGAACAGTCGTTTACTCCCCAGTTATTGGCGCTGCACATGATTCCATAATACAAAGTATCCCTACATTGCAACTGGTCCAACCATATTTGGTATGGAGGCGAGATAGTGCTTTGTCCGCTGGATTGTTGGTTATAAAACCTTTGGTAGCTGTAATAAGGTCAATCGTTAGATCAATTAACATACCACTGCACTCAGTTAGTGGTATACCATGCGAGTTATCTTGCAATAAGACTAAAACAATCGGTAAAAAATGTAAAGGTAAAGGTTTGTTGTTTTATTGTTGTCGTATAACATTCCCGATATTATCAATTGTTTTATGATTGTTTAACAAGTTGTGACCATTACGGGCATTGCTCGCCATTGAAGCTTTAACACAAAAACTGATTAATGGGCCTCTCATTATGTTCAATTTAAGACCTGCTGAATGCCATATCTGTTTATCAACGGATTACAAGAAATATAAGCTCATCAAGAACTGAATTTCTTTAGGTAGTCAAGGCACCAATGATATGAGTGTACACTTCATGCCCAGCGATTTTGTATATTCTTATGGGATGAATTATCAACTGTTCCCATGTTATGAGCCAGTTAGTAAGTCCTGTTGGATGAGGCCCAACCTAGGATATAACCTTGTAGCAAGTTTGTATAAATTTCTCTCCTTAATTAGCATTTGCTTTCATGCCTATAGGGTGATCCAGACTGTCTTGGCCCCTTATGCCTGACATTTGTATATAAAGTTAAAAGATGAATATATCAAATATTTCATGATATAACTCGAGGAGAAAGTACAAAGGTGAGGCAGACCTCAGAGCCAGCGTAAATGTCTCACCTCTTCATGCAATTGTGTATTTGGTTAGAGGGTGGAAACCGTAACTGTCTCCAAGTTATGACCTTAATCCCCTATCAAAACCCACCTCGCAGATGGGAACAAACCCAAGGGCAAACTCTGATAGCATTATATCGAGTACCGGTATGTATGGTTATAGGGTTTGGATCTTTACCATTTCCAACAAACAATAAAACTTATGCTCCTATTTGCTCCCGCCCCTGTCAGCATGGCATCACACATCCTATACAAAGTCCCCTACGCCCAAGGGATGCTCTAAACTAAATTTTGTTAACATACGCGTACATAAACTGTTACGGAAGAAGAATGAGTTAAAGATTGACCTTTAATTTCCCTATTTCGGGGTGGGTGGGGGCGAGGGGGAGGGCCAGGGTTGGTTGGTTATTTGTTTGGTTGTAAGAACCATACCGTCCTTTTATACAAAGTTTAAGCCCCTATGCCCAGGGATGCTCCAAACAAAATATAATCAACATCTTTTGAGCCGTTCAGGACTAGTAGCGTTTTTAAAGAAAAAAGGTTTAAAGACGACGGGGTACCCTCCACGGACTCATTTCACATAAACAGTGTGTTGCTAAGAACCTATTAATAAATGAAATCTCGTATCTTTAGACCTAAGGATGTGTATACATACGACGGCCACTCTCCGTAAATGCTTTTACAAATGATACGAGTTGTCTCCGGAGTAAAGCCGTCATCACAAACGGTGCCCCATCTGCCGTTGTGGTGTACCTCAAGCCGATTTCCATCCAGTCGAAAAGAGGTTCCTTTGTCTGGTTGAAAAACAAAAAAAGGGGAAAAAAAACTCAACACCAAAATCATGTTATGAATAACTATGATCCATGATCATGGTGATTATCATTTTCTGAACAACAATTTGTTGTTTAGTTGTGTATTCTTCACATACTGTATGCTGGGCATTTTTTAGACTCTGGTTACACATGTACCTGACATGTAAATATACCATGTGCTAGCGGGCTGTAGAATGATGTCTAAAGTGTACATGGTTGATAGTAAGTAATTAATTTTATAAATGAAAAATGCAATAAACTATCAATTTTGATATATTTTTTAAAATTTATTTCTATAAGTTTTGACATGTAAAGTAATTAAATTATAAAGCCATTGCGTTTATTTTGTTCACTTTTCCCACTTTTTTGCATGTATCTCTGTGTCCTGTTTGCTTTTAGCTTGTTAATACTCACTTGAATCCATACAATTTAAACTAACGAAAACTCATCCGCGGTCTGTCGGAATGCTTAGATTTTCATAATATTACACCATCATAGTTGCATAACCATTATGTGAAAGTGTAAGCGAATTCCGCTGGTTAATTGCGATTGGGTTGAACCTTCTTTCACAATATGTTTAAAGTTGATAAGCTGTAGATTGAAAATCAACACGAAGCATTTCTGTAATATACTTCAACCAGTTCTATAGATACCTACTTCGCCGAGATTTACAATACACACGTCGACTTTAATTAAATCCATGAAATCACTTACCAATTGTAATTGCTCCCCCCGGAGACGAATCGTAGGCGACCGTTGTTATATCTGAAGAAGGTTACGGAACAACAACAAAAAAATAAAGAAAATGATAATATTATTAAAGAAAAGTGCAACGTGCATGATGACGGGTACGTCATGTTAAACATAATAACAGCTTTAATAATCGTTTATCTAAAACACAACAATAGCTGTGTGACCTTTGACTCAAGTTTCGTGATATTGTCATAGGGCGTGTTTTGAATTTTGAAGCTTTGGACAGATTGTGAAATATCGTTGAATAAATATATTCAAACATAACTGTATGTAACATGAATGTTATTTAATCTTTATAATTTGGTAACAAACAAAGAATGCTAGAAAAAGGAATTACAGTGCATGTAAGCCTCATCGGTGATTCTAGGGTCACAGAGCTGGAATTCCAATTTACCCTTAACTAATTTTGAATCAGAAATGAAGTTGCATAAAAAACAGAACACGAACACATGTTTACAAACGGAGAAGTTGTAGCGCGTAGGAATATGACCTGATTACCACGTTGACAAGACTCATTTGCATGTTTATTGTACGTGTGCTATATCGGTTTTATTGAACGCCAATAATGCACGGAAATAGCCTGTATTATATAATAAGTATATATATATATAGGATCTCTCATGAGATTCCATTTCATATGAGATATATGAAATGAGTTTAGCATTTTTCAATTTAGCGGTCCTCTAGCGAGCTAAAATGAAAAATTCATGACGAGTTTCATAAATTTCATATGATATGAAAACGAGCGGAGGATCATATATATATATATATATATATATATATTTAATATATAGATTTTAGAACCGCTGTTAACGCAAAACGTCCACGCTGCGTTATCAGATAATCAATTAAGGCATCTATTCATGTAAAACGACAATTTTCATGCAACCTTAAAATGTAAAAAGCCGCATGACTCCAGTGCGTAAGTCTGTGACGTCATGTACGTGTCCTAGGCGTGACGTCATAATTGAAACAATTGACACTTACAATCAATCAGAGGGCTGATAGGTCATATTATATGGGTTAATACGCAAAAAAATATGACATGGATATATTCAATGCAAAACACAGTACAGTGTTCTTTATGTGATTTTTTTTTTTATCACATAATGTGCTTTGTTATCCAGTGAATATTAACCCATGTAATATGACCTATAGTTTTCAAGACATGGTATATGTGTCTGAAAGATTTTATTTTTTTTTTGGCTTTTTCTTAGGCAGAGAATGTAAAGCACCTGTTCAGAGTGGGGGAAATAATGTTGATGCATATCTACACTTGCTGTCGCTGATAGAAAATGTACACGTAGTAAGATTTTGTATTTGTCTGTTATCTCCTATCTGGGTTATCGGTTGATCCGGGTTCGCTGTGCATAGCTTACAGGACAATACGCCTGTCGTCTGCACCTAATGTAACTCATTTTGGAGGGTCGACCAGACAAAGTTCCCATTGTTAATTTTGAAATATTTTGTGTATAATAAGATCAGATAAACACAACTGCGCAAAAAAATCAAGATCATGGCGGTCTAACAAGATTCATCTACAACATCATGTCTCATCAAAGTTTCATTTTATACACAAACAATGAAGGTTTAAAACGTGTCGCAACGTTTTAAGACCGACTCATCCCTTTGTCAAGCTATGGCTGAGTGAGTGATTTGTATCGTTTACCTGTACAACGAATATAAATTTCATACATTTGTATATCACTCGACACAGGACGTTTCGCCTATCTGAAACGCTTCGACACGTTGAACATGTAGGTAACAGAGGTCATCATTTTTCAATGCCTCCGCTAGGAGTTGAACCCGGGACCTCTGGCTTACAAGCCTTACGCTCTACTGCATGAGCTAAAGGGAAATTCTCCCTAGCCGAGTCGGTAAAGAAAGCGGCGAGTGATTTACCAGAGTGACATGTACATTGTTTTTATATAAAGTAAAACTTTGATAATACCTATTTACTATTGTATGATTAGTTAGGGGTCAAATACCTCCCGAGTTGTCTACCCTGTCCTGTACCTTGAATGCTCCCTGCGGTGTAACCGGTGGTTCCTGCTGTGACGTGTTCGGTTATTGGTTCCGTCGTTTCCCAATACGCCGAAACAAGTGACAAGAACTACAAAAAATAACAAGAACTCCATCAAAAATTTATTTGTTGTTGTTTGCATTCAAAATATCAATTTCACTCTAAAGTATTTACTACCATAGACTCAACACATCAGGTACCCGAGTACAACAGTTAAAACACATGGGTCCTCTACCGAACAAAACCTACAGTTATCTTCATTGCTAAAGACTTGGTATAAAACTGTGACTATGTTGTGTGGTCATATATGATATCAGGCCTACAGTCCTATATATACAGGGGGAGGTGTGGGGTGATATGATACCAGACCTACAGGACTATATATACAGGGTAATAGTGGGGTGATATGATACCAGACCTACAGTCATATATATACAGGGGAAGGTGTGGGGTGATATGATACCAGACCTACAGGACTATATATACAAGGTAATAGTGGGGTGATATGATACCAGACCTACAGGACTATATATACAGGGTAATAGTGGGGTGATATGATACCAGGCCTACAGTCATATATATACAGGGGAAGGTGTGGGGTGATATGATTCCAGACCTACAGTCATATATATACAGGGGTAGGTGTCGGGTGATATTATACCAGACCTACAGGACTATATATACAAGGTAATAGTGGGGTGATATGATACCAGACCTACATGCCTTTATATACAGGGGTATGTGTGGGGTGATATGATACCAGACCTACAGTCCTATATATACAGGGGAAGGTTTGGGGTGATATAATACCAGACCTACAGGCCTATATATACAGGGGTAGGTGTGGGGTGATATGATACTATACAGGGATAGGTGTCGGGTAATATAATTCCAGACCTACAGTCCTTTATATGCAGGGGTATCTGTGGGGTAATATGATACCAGACCTACAGGCCTTTATATACAGGGGTATGAGTGGGGGGATATGATACCAGACCTTCAGGCCTATATATACACCTACAGTCATATATATACAGGGGAGGTGTGGGGTGATATGACACCAGACCTACAGTACTATATATACATATATACAGGGGTAGGTGTGGGGTGATAAGATACCAGACCTACAGTACTATATGTACAGGGGTAGTAGTGGGGTGATATGATACCAGACCTACAGTCATATATATACAGGGGAAGGTGTCGGGTGATATTATACCAGACCTACAGGTCTATATATACAAGGTAATAGTGGGGTGATATGATCCCAGACCTACATGCCTTTATATACAGGGGTATGTGTGGGGTGATATCATGGGGTGATATGATACCAGACCTACAGGCCTATGTATACAGGGGTATGTGTGGGGTGATATGATACCATACCTACAGGCCTATGTATACAGGGGTATGTGTGGGGTGATATGATACCAGGCCTACAGGCCTATGTATACAGGGGTATGTGTGGGGTGATATGATACCATACCTACAGTCATATATATACAGGGGTAGGTGTCGGGTGATATTATACCAGGCCTACAGGACTATATATACAAGGTAATAGTGGGGTGATATGATCCCAGACCTACATGCCTTTATATACAGGGGTATGTGTGGGGTGATATGATACCATACCTACAGGCCTATGTATACAGGGGTATGTGTCGGGTAATATGATACCAGACCTACAGGCCTTTATATACAGGGGTATGAGTGGGGGGATATGATACCAGACCTTCAGGCCTATATATACAGGGATAGGTGTCGGGTAATATAATTCCAGACCTACAGTCCTTTATATGCAGGGGTATCTGTGGGGTAATATGATACCAGACCTACAGGCCTATATACAGGGGTAAGTGTGGGATGATACCAGACCTACAGGCCTATGTATATAGGGGTACAGTAGGGGTGGGTGATATGATACCAGACCTACAGGCCTATGTATATAGGGGTACAGTAGGGGTGGGTGATATGATACCAGACCTACAGGCCTATATATACAGGGGTAGGTGTGGGGTGATATGATACCAGATCTACAGGCCTATATATACAGGGGTAGGTGTCGGGTAATATGATACCAGACCTACAGTCCTTTATATACAGTGGTATGAGTGGGGTGATATGATACCAGACCTTCAGGCCGATATATACAGGGATAGGTGTCGGGTAATAGAATACCAGACCTACAGTCCTTTATATGCAGGGGTATCTGTGGGGTAATATGATACCAGACCTACAGTCCTATATATACAGGGGAAGGTTTGGGGTGATATAATACCAGACCTACAGGTCTATATATACAGGAGAGGTGTGGGGTGATATGATACCACAACTACAGGCATATATATACAGGGGAGGTGTGGGGTGATATGACACCAGACCTACAGTACTATATATACAGAGTTAGTAATGGGGTGATATAATACCAGACCTACAGGCATATATATACAGGGTTAGTAGTGGGTGATATGATACCAGACCTAAAGTCATATATATACAGGGGTAGGTGTGGGGCGATATAATACCAGATCTACAGTCCTATATATACAGGGGTAGGTGTGGGATGATATGACACCAGACCTACAGTCATATATATACAGGGGTAGGTGTGGGGTGATATGATACCAGACCTACAGTCCGATATATACAGGGGAGGTGTGGAGTGATATGATACCACACCTACAGTACTATATATACAGGGGTAGTAGTGGGGTGATATCATACCAGACCTACAGTCCTATATATACAGAGGTATGTGTGGGTGATATGATACCAGACCTACAGTACTATATATACAGGGTTAGTAATGGGGTGATATAATACCAGACCTACAGGCATATATATACAGGGGTAGGTGTGGGGTGATAAGATACCAGACCTACAGTACTATATGAACAGGGGTAGTAGTGGGGTGATATGATACCAGACCTACAGTACTATATATACAGGGGTAGGTATGGGGTGATATGATACCAGATCTACAGGCCTATATATACAGGGGTATGTGTGGGGTGATATCATACCATACCTACAGGCCTATATATACAGGGTAGGTGTGGGGTGATATGATACCAGACCTACAGGCCTATATACAGGGGTAAGTGTGGGGTGATATGATACCAGATCTACAGGCCTATATATACAGGGTAGGTGTGGGGTGATATGATACCAGCCCTACAGGCCTATATACAGGGGTAAGTGTGGGGTGATATGATACCAGACCTACAGGCCTATATATACAGGGGTAGGTGTGGGGTGATATGACACCAGACCTACAGTCCTACATATACAGGGGTAGGTGTGGGGTGATATGATACCACACCTACAGTCCTATATACAGGGGTAGGTGCGGGGTAATATGATACTAAACCTGTTCTGTCAGTCTGTACAGTGCGTAAGTTTTGGAAGATAATCAGACTTACGGTCAGACTGATGAGGTAGGATACTGTGTCCATGTCTGCTTCCTCCGCGTGGCGATGATGGTGCAGATTAACAACAGATATGTCAGCTGTTAAACCGGCTTTTATATAAGTTAACTTTATCTTTCTCAGTGCGATTATGTTTAACTACATCATTTTCCTATCAGTTTGTTTGTGTTGTCCACCCAGAATTCGTGGTATATTTTGATAAGATACCCACACAAATATGTAATATAACCCCTTGTAGGAACATTCGTCAGAATGATTGTTTATACTGTTTATTTGTTTCAACATGGAGGGGTATACATATGTATATGTTTGGGTTGTTAGGGAGAATCTTAATTAAAACGGAATGAAAATGGCAGTTGACGTGAAGTGGAAAGGTTGTTATAGACAAAAGGAGTTAATACAGAGGAGAAGATATCGAAGAGACAGGATGGTTATAGACAGGGGTGGGTTGGGTAGGGGAGGGGTGGGTAGGG